TATAATTTAAAGAACTGATGTGTTTAAATATCAAATAAATCTGAAACCTTGTGGGAATTTCTTTGTACTCTGGACGTGCTTCCTGATGCAACCTCAAAGTGATTCATGTTTCCTCCTGCGACAGGACAAGGGATCTTTCAGTTGTTAAGCAAACATGTAAATCACCACACTATGGAGACACAAATGAGTTGCTGCTACAGGCTGCAGACGGATGTAATCTGAAATACCTGTAAAACTCACTCAGCTGTCAGATTCAGCTGTGCTTCGTTTTTAAATTAGATGTTAACATTATGATAAAACTGCCTGATAATTTATAAGACTGTCTTTCTGCTAATGCTGTTACTGTGAATATTAATTCCAGATCTTTAAAACTGTCCAATTTCAGTATATTTATTGTCTTTGTTGAGTGTCGTCTCTCTCGCACACAGAGTCAGGCAGAACATAACAACTGGAAGTTTCCGGCTTTTTAAATACTTTCAATATCTTCAATTTGAGTCCAACTGACTACTTTTTCCATCAGACCATTAGCTCTTCGTTTTATCCCCAAGAATACTTGAGAGTTTTTAATGGACTGAATGTTCAAGGCTGTTTCCGCCTTTAATGGGTTTCTGTTTCCCGTTTATATCAACAAGCTGCTCCGTTTGTTCCATTAGAGAAACAGAAAGAACTGGAAAAAAGGTCACGATGCTCTCAAAACAGACTTTAGATTTATGTTTGACTTTCAGAGCTTTGATTTATGCTTAAATTGCTTTCAACACAAAAGTTATTTTAAATAATGTGACATGCTGCAAGTGATAAGATTAAAAAAAACTGTTGTATTATGACAATACTGTGAGTACGGGCTTATGACGGGATAAAGTTCCTTTGATGTTGATGCCTTAAGCAAACCATAAGCAAACACTTCAGAACAGGTGGTGTTGGTGTGTGGGTGGTGCTTCCTTTGCTTTCACTAACTGTTAATTGCTGCATAAATCAAATCAAATTCAAATTTTATTTGTCACATACACAGT